TCGTGACGAACTCATGTTTAAAAAGACAAGACAAATATATTAGAATGAACACTCAGCAAGTTGATAATTGTTCAAAATATGATACGTAAAAATCATAAAAAAAAGAGCACATTCAGTATTTTCATGAATATATTCGTAATTTAGGTACTCGAAAACATAAAAATTTGCAAAAATATCCAAGGCAACACAAAAAAATTTTTTTTTTGTAGAGCTGTGTAATTAACGTACTCAGACGTTAATTTGATTTTGATTATTGAAACTTTTATTAAGGTAATTTTTTTTGTTATTAAATTTCGATTCATTTTAAAATAAATTAAATTGTTATTTCGTCGTTTAATTAGTTATTAACCAATTTGAGGTTAATTAATTATTTAAATTGTCAGGTGTTATTAAATTTCAATTAATTGTAAAATAACTTAAATTGTTATTTCGCCGTATAATTAGTTATTAACCAACTTGAGGTTAATTATTTTTTTTTGTTTGTTCGTATTTATTTTTGTTGTTTGTTTTGCTTTACTCCGATTTCGATTATTTGAGCATCAATTAATTGATTAGGTCACCGTAATACTAATTATAGTACATTGTAGGATATTATTTGCGAATTGTCGAATGATCACAGCTATATTTTTTTTTTGTTATTATTGTCGCTATCTCGACTAGAATTAAGTCGTTATTATATGAAATTTGCGAAATATATGAATTATATTGGCGACTGCTAAAATAAATTGTTAACTGAACGCTCGGTCACTAACTTTGTTTGCTTCCTCCCTCTCCGAGATCCCGTAGATTTAATACTTTTGCTTTTCGCCGATTATTCGAAATTTTGAATCTCTTCGTCATCGACCTGCCGCCCGACGATGACCCGCAACGACTTCGAACCTTGGAACGGTAAGTTCCTGGCGCCCAACCACTTTCGAAACCCAGGTAAGCCAATTTTGGTGGTGCTCTCCGGCCCTGTCGACGCCAGTGCCAGCGAAAGGCCCATTATAATATATATATATATATATATATATATAT